GTTTATCTTTGTTGGTTATGGGCCTTAGTTATGTTTTTTTTTCTTTAATTATTTCTTTAGTGCTGGTTGCCCCATTAAGGGCATCCGGATAATTGTACTTAATTTTAGAATTAAGTTAATAAAAGAGATCAAGGGGGCTACAGTGAGAGGTTCGAACTCTTCTTTTCTCTCTTCCCTTCTCTTCTTCTTCTACAACCTACTGCTGAAACCTCTTTCTTCTTCATTCTCTTCCTTTCTTTCTTTATTTTCCTATATTTTCTGAATTACTATAGGTGTATTTCTTAACTACTATAAAGGAGTTGTCAGCCATTTAGTTAGAAGAATATTTTGAAGCAATGTTTTCAATTTCAACTTACCGTTGAACTTGATGGGTGAACTGTTCAAACCATATATGGTCCCATTGTCGGTTCTAGTTTTCCTAAAACTCAAAAATTGACAGAAAACCGTTTGACCTGGGTGGTTGAACCATTGACCCGGTTGACCTGGTCACCGGTCACGAGTTACAACTTACAATGTATTGAAAACTTCTGGAGGCCATAACTTTGTGCTTAATTGTCTGATTGGGGTTATCTTTTTTTTATAAATTTTTGGTAACTTTTTGAGATCTACGCGTTCTGAGGTGCCACTGCCCTACTATTTTTGCCAAAAAACAACTTTTTGGCCTCAAATCTTAATTCTTAGTTTTTTACAAATAAAAAAAATTAAAAATTGAAATAAAAATGTTTTTTAGGGGAAGAAATAAAAAATATTAATTCGATGTAAAATAAAACATACATATGTATATATACATATGTTACATGTAGAATGTAATTATATATTATTTGTTCTATATAACATATTGTATACGCATATAATATATTTATGTATTTATATATATTGATGACATGGCATGGTCTGACTTGTACGACCCAGACAATCGAACCACTGACCCATGACCTGGAGGCAAAAATGGTTCAGCCTCCAGGTCAATTTTTAAAACACTGGCCTGAGGGAATAAGAATTGTGTTCTAGGGATTATTAGAATGTTACTGTCTCAACACTTTAAGAGACCATTTGATCCTTGATCTGACAATTTGGTGTCATAATCTCTGAGAAAAGTCCTGGAATGTTGGCAGAAGAAGAAGTCTGAAAGAGCATTTTTCTTATCAAAATCAAATATGGATTCCCTAATTGCCAAACTCCGTGTAACAGATTTCTGGTCTCCATGCAAACTTCCATTTCAATAATTCAAATATCTAGTTTTATACTGATAACTGTTTCATGACCAGGTGCTTTCCATATTTCTATTGTGTGTGTACTCAGTTTAGGAACCACATCTAATCATCATTCTAAATTCTCTCTTTAGCTATACATACTCTAACCTCTAAGATTGGTATTGTACTCCCAATTCTATCATACTTGTATACTGGAGGTTATTGTACTTTATGGGCACTTGGTTTTTATTAATGAAGATTCAAACATCTAAACACATTATTAGGTTATTAAATCTATTCTCCTGGTTTGAAAAATATACATCAACCTTGATGAAACTGATTGGTTCTCTTTGATATTACTCTTTTATACAAATTTGTCATGATAAACTTTGTTCTTATAAAATAGAAATTTACAGTTATTGATAAAAGGCTGTGTTCTTTTAAAATTGACATGTGTGTGTTTATGTGATGATGGGATTCCTGCAAGCAAAAACTCTGCACACCATGAAAGCATGGCAATCCTGTTGCACCTTAAACATCTCCCCATGAATTTAACATAAACGTATGGGAGATATTCCAAATGTGCGGCTGGATGCTATGTGAGCAGAGTTTTTGCTTGCAGGAGATCCAGGCTCGTGTGTGTGTGGGGGGGGGGGTGGTGCGCTTGTGTGTGCATGTAAAGTCATTCATGTACATATTGATTTATGAGTGATAAGCTTGTTTTTCTTGGATTTCATTTTCTGTCTATCTGAAGTGCATCTTGCTTCTTTTTGCCCATGCCTTTCTTTCTAGACTATACTGAGCATTATATCTTGCCCGTTAAGGAATCATCTTTATTAATGGGTTGTCTCTACTTGTAGTTTAAAACTGCTCATTTTTAGCATATGGTTGATCTATGAGTGATAATTTCTTGGATTTGATTCTCTGGCAACTTGAACTGCATCTTGCTTCATTTGTTCCTGTCTTTCTACCCTATTTTTAAATATTACATCTTGCCCGTCAAAGGAATGATAATTCTTAATGATCTGACTGTACTTTTAGCTTGAAGTTGCTTATTCCTTGGGGCTGCAAAAAGATTGGATTCAAATTGGATATAATAAGTTCCAAATTTGAACTGTTAATATGTGGATTCAAATTGAAACTTGTCAATTATATCTTATTAATAAGATATTTGTTACACATTGAAGAAATGATTTGTTACACATTGAAGGGGCTAGAAGAGCTCAGGGTAGACCAAAAAGAAACATGGGTAGAAGTAGTAAGTTATGATTTAAGCACTAATAATTTAACAGTAGATATGGCGTTGAATAGAATGGATTGGCAAAACAGGATTCATGTAACAATCGGTCCCATATAGTTGGGATTAGGCATGGATGATGATGATGCTTTTAAATTACTTTGATATTGTATATCATGAATTATAAATAACATCAATGGAAAATAAAGCAATTAAAGTGGTTCATTGGATCAAGGTCTCCTTGCTCCATTCTCCCTTTAGTGCACTAGAACCTTCCTAATCAGGATCATATCAAGTTGAACTTTGGCAGATACAGAGTGGTAAGCCCAAAAACATGAGGCATTGGAAGAGTATTCAAAAACTGTTTTGGAAAGATCTCAGCCATGTAGTGAGGCCCCATAGAAATTGGGGTTCTACCAGAGATGAAAAGAATGCAGTCTTATGGGGGTTGAGATTGAACAGTTCACTCAATTCTAGGAACTTGGTGGCAGAAGAGGACTTCAAAGTGGCAGTGAGAGATGGCTAAAAAAAGCTACCAATAGCTCATCACAGCAAATTCATCAGTCAAAGATCAGAAAATTCCTTGGCTGATTCATTAGCTAAACAAGGGATAAGTAGGGGCCAAATGTTTTGAGGATATTTATATTTATAGGACAATAACTTGTATCTCAAAAGGAAGGGATTAGGTAGCTTATTCTAGCCTATTGTAGAGACACTATGGGTTGCCTTGGTTGGGAGCGCATTTATGTTATGTATCTTATGTATAATATCATTATTTTCTTTCTTGTATACAGTCTTTTGTTCTTTGTATTAGAGAAGGGCATAACTGTTCTTTCTCTCTTGTACTCTCTTGATATATAATACATCTCTTTTGGAAATGTGGTCACTGAGAGACACACCCTTTCAGCTTCTTGTGCATTCTTCGAACTGACTCTGACATGGCAACAGAGAAAAGAAAGAAACATTCTCAAGAAAGACAACATTTCTAGAGTTCCGAATCCATCGAGCACAAGGGTCATAACAGAGAAACCCCTTGTGATCCAAGCTATATCCCATGAAGACACACAAAGCTGAATGTGGAGTATGATTTGTGCATTCATGAGGAGGTAGATGTACAAAACACATGTAGCCAAAAACATGAAGCAAATGGAAGTTTGGGGGCCAATGAAATAAGCATTGAAAAGGAGAGATGTCATAGAGAATACAAGAGAGAAGCAAGTTAATGATGTATACAGTAGTGCTGTCTGCCTCTTCCCAAAAGCGAGTAAGTGCATGTGCTACAAGGTTCTTACAAAACTCAATATGTGGCCATTCTTCCATTCTGCCACCCCATTTTGTTGTGGGGTCCTAGGACATGATCTCTATGATTGAATTTCCTGTTCCTTTAAGTAATCCCCCTCCCCCCAAACTGGTCAAACATCATTGTGAATCAACTAAAAAGGAATAGAAGAATGTGTAGTAGTAGATAGAAAAGGTAAAACATGACCTTTTAATCAAACCACATGAAATGCAAGATTTATTAATGTGAGCAAAAGAAGTTTTTGTAGAAGACAAACAAACAGGACCAAATAGAAATGGTTTCTTAACATAAGGGTGGCCAAGGTGCTTATGCCAAAGATGCCACTCATTATTTCTATAAACAAGTTCAATACTAGAGGTAGAAAGTAAACACAAAGAAGTAGGCAAAGTTTGAGATTTCTCGAACTCCAAAGCAAATATCCAGCCCAGTCTATGCCCTTCCCCCTCACCGTCCCAGTTTGGTGGTCTTGAATCAAACATCCATCATGAGAAAAAGAAACTATGTTACCATCCTATACCGATTGACCGGAAGAAGTTAAATTAGTAGTAAATTTTGGAACAAGAAAGGTTTTAGGGAGATGAACTGTGAAGAAGAGGAGGTATGCAACGTCAAGTCATTATAACCAAGAATCACAAATTTTTAACCATTTGCCATAATAATGTGTTTATTAAAGGATTGGGTTTAAAATACTGACCAGGGTATAACTTGACATCAGTTTGAGGTGAGGGGTGTAGAGACACTATGGACTGACTTGGTTGGGAGCACATTTTATCATGTATCTTACATAAGTACCATTATTTTCTTTCTTGTATACATAGTCTTTTATTCTTTGTATTAGAGAAGGCCATAACTGTCCTTTCTCTCTTAGTACATCTCTTTTGGGTGTGTGGTCACTGAGAGATTCACCCTTTCAGCTTCCCGTGCACTCTTCGAACTGACTCTGACACTTGTATCATTGGGGTGCTTACGTTTATTGTATGTAGCATTTCTTTTACTGATAATTAATAAAATTTAACTGTTACCCATAAAAAAATATAATAGTAATAACATCAATGAGACCAAAATCCATGACTTTTTAGTAAACATACAACACTCAAACCATGTTTGCTAATATATAGGTATTATTTTAAGTGGATCAAATTCAGATCACCTTAATCATATTGGATTTGAATATGTATTTGGACAAATGGATACTTTTTGCAGCCTTATTATTTGTAGAATATGTTTTTTTTTTGGTAACTGAGTACTTGAATGTGTTGCTTCTTTGCAGTGGCAAAACTATTGAACTCGATGATGTTACTTTCCACCATTGCGTAAACCTGACAAGGTTCAATTCAGAGAAAACAGTCAGTTTTGTGCCGCCTGATGGTGAATTTGAATTGATGAAGTAAGTTGGATGTTCTTTCCTTTGAAGGAACTGAAAACACCTTTACTTTTTTATTTATTGTCATAGTTTCTCTTAGCTACATTGGACTTTGGAGTAATAACTGTTGAAGTTTGACCTGCCATAGAATTCTGTCTTGTTCGTTGACTGTAGAGTAAAGTAGACAGCAAGAAGTAGGAGAGGAAAGAAGAAAAGAGAGAAGAGAGA